TAAAGACAGGGAAAGCATAAGCTGCACACACAAGCAAAGCAAAGCAAAACAAGGAATTAATTCACTGCTTCCCATGGGCAGGCAGGTGCTCGGGCAGGCAGGTGCTCAGCCATCCAGCAGCCTCCTGTGCCGTGGGGAAGCACAGACATGCATAGATACATCATGATGGGAAAGGGGAATTTTGGAGTTGTGAGAGGACAGAAGATTGTATTGTGGTGCAGGGTAATATTTGAGGAATGGTTTAAAAGTTTTTTTTTATTTCTGGTTGTAGTAAATGTTTTCAATGACTGATTTCAACATGCGATTTTCGAAGTCAGTGTCCCTGCAGATGCAGAATGGGCACATTACAGCTTCCCTCCACAGCATGTCTGCTCTGTGAGCTCCAGTCCTTGAAAGGAGGTGCCATTTTTCAATTCTTGGCTGGTCTGAAGATGATGCTTTTGAAGTGCCTAGCTTGTGACTGATACCCATTGTCTCTGATTCCTTTTCCTCCTCCATTCTGAAGTATCTCACTGTTCTCATGGATCACCCTGCCTGATGTAGTAGCTCCTGTTTATAAGTTAGGTCATTGTTTCTTCGCCATCTTCCTTTCAACCCAATGCTGTGACCCATTTTGCCTTACTCTTTGCCTTTTCACTGCTGATCTCCCTACACCCTTTTTGTGTTTGAATAATTGCCCAGTGAATTAGATTTACCTTATCTCCTATTATAAAAATTTTCAGGAAGAGAATGTGTCTACATAACTTGCTTTACCTTTATGGCACTACAGAGTAGAAATGGTTGTTATTAATAATGCATACCAAAATGGCCTCTTATTTGACAAGTGTACTTCTATTTTAACATATAATATTTATGTCATGCTTGTAAGTAGTTGTCAGAATATTTCATAAAACTAATGGAGTCCCACAAAATGGGAACTCGCTACTGTGTCTGGCTGTAAAATTTTTGCTTGGAAATGGAAAGAGGCTGCAGGATTTTGTATGCAAAATATGAAAGCCAAAGATTTGGCTTTGTGTGTATTTGGCAGACAGTGTTGGAAACAGAGTGATGTATGTGATATATTAAAACACTTTAGAATGATAGTGAAAAGAAAGCTTCAAATTTTGTTGAAGCTATTCAAGTTAAGACACGCACACTTTCATTAAAGAAGCCCAGCAACAGCTGAATTGAAGCCACTGATTTGTTTTCACTGGGTAAAAAACAGCTTGAGTGATAAGAAGATGGAGAGTTTGCTTAGTAAGAATAAATTCATACATGATGTTTATTGTCTAAACCATATCTGAGAAACAGATAATCTGTAGGATATTAAAAAATAAAAGAAAGAAAAGATAAACATAGCATGTCTGCTGCCTTTCCCTCAAGCATTCCTTAAGCTCAATCCACTCCACAAGTCTCCATGTAAAATTCTATGGAACTGTTTTCTCTGAGTGAAAAATTGGCTTTGCTTAAATGAACAATTTTGCCACTGACTTAAATGGAGCTGGTTCTCTTGCTGTACAAGTTATTTTTAGAAAGAAAAATATTCATTGATGCAAGAAATTTCTCCCTGTTAGCCTATTTTTGGTGACACCACAGATATAAAGATGGAAGTTTGCCCAAGCAGGTTTCAGCCGTGACCAGCCAATTAATGCTCTATTGGAAAATGTTAATATACTTTGGTGGGACACTGTTGCCTTGTCTTTTTTTTGGAACAGAAAGAAGTGAGAATTAGATACTGAGAACTATCTTACAGTCTATCAAACCCTATGGCAGAAGTGGATAGTTGTAAGGTTTGCTTAGATCTGTAAATATATCTTAGTATAAAACACAAATAGAGTCTGCATGTTCTCTCACTTTTTTTAGTGAGAAATGTTCAGGTTTGGGATTAAAGATGTGGACAATAGTATTTTTTCTGGACAAGATTGTTACAGTACGTTAAAACCACACTGCCAATTGGCTTTTTTTCTTTAATTAACTTTTTTTTAAATAACTTTTATTAACTTGAGGTGCTCAAGACTAATAATAGCTCTGAGCTGCTATGGTTGATGATGTGAAAGCAGCACACAACTGGAATGAAGACATAAAATATTAATAATGAGAGGGATCCTGTAAAATGTCAGCACGAGAATGGTAAAAGGCAAACAACCTTCCACAACCTGCCCACAAAGTATGCACAGAGTTTGGAGAGCATGTGAAAGTTTAAGAGGGGCTTCCAGTGGGAGGGTTTATTTGGTGAGTTTACAGGGTGAGTGAGAGCTGGTGCAGACAGAGGGGCAGGTACCTGAGACACGAGGGTCAAAGTGCTGGCTTTGGAATAATGCTGCATGCTAACAGCCTGCTGGGCTGTGCATGTATGAATGCATAAAGCCAGGAGAGAGCAAAACCCTGTGGTTTGCCTCTTGTTGCAGTATTCAGAGCAGAACTCTTGAATCTCAGTGACCATTTCCTGGGTTGGGCAGTTTGCTTTTTGATGTGTAATCTCTCCTCCTGCATTTGAGATCAGCTAGGACAGACTAAGCCCAAGATTAAGGCGGCTCAGATGAAGGGCTGTTTCCATAGCAGATGCTGCCATGCGAGCACTGAGTTCCTCTTGTGATAGAGCAAGGCCATAGGGCAATGCAAATGGGGCAAATCCTATTTGTCTTTACTAATTGTCAACTCAGTCCTAGTTCCCTTTTCCCCTGCAGAAAACAAACTGCACCAAGCATCCAATTAAGGAGAGTGAATTGGTTGACATTCTAACCCAGGCTTGCGTTTACATCTCTTCTGAATCAGAGTCTGCAGGAAGGTTTGCCTTAGTTCATGTTTGCCTTGTTGAGTAGCAGTTTGTCTAGTCCTGGGGCCAGCTGCAGGAGGGCACGGTCTGCTCACTGCCCCAAGGACTTCACTGTGTAGCTGAAACTGCTGCAAAAAATCTCAGAGCTGCCCTCAAAAGTGATTTAAGCAGGTCTAATGAGTAAGTCTTTTGACAGAAATTGATACTACTGAGACTGTTCTGTGAAACCACAGCAGCTTATTTCAGTATCATCCTGGGAGGAGGCTTTCTACTAAACAGAGAAAACAAGGTTATCCAGGAGGTGTAGCTGTTATTTCAATATTTAGATTGGAAATCTTAACGTCCTTCTGAAACAAAATATAGTTACAGTTCCTATGACAACTGTTTCCCTCTCCTCTGGAGCATGGGCTAACGACAGGATTTCATTACATGGTCATGTAACACTGGGCACTGTGACAGCCTTGTCATCTCCACTGTGCTGTTTGCTCCTAAATGGCATTTAGCTTTGCCCACTTGTGTTGTGCAGAGCATGAATTGTAGTGACTGACCTTCACTGTGCTTATTGCCTGCCACCTCCCACTTCCCAGCTTCCCTCTTTTCATTAGCAGGCTCATTTTCTACCAAAATACATTTGGTATGCTGAATTTTGTTGACAAAAAATTCCTAGAAACTTATTTCAGTGGTAGAAATTCTATACGCTGACATTAATTAAGAACAGCATCTTAACAAGTACACAGAGTACTGACAAAAATTTGTGAGTACAGCAGCTAAACCAGAATATGCAGCAGATTCCTGTAGTTACTTCTGCAACACACTTAAGAAAAACTATAACCAGTTGAACAGATATATTAAAAGACTTTATTCACAATAGAGAAATTTTTACAAATATAAGTTCTTAAAAATTAAGCATCTTGATCTATTATGTATTCCATAATTTCAGTTTATATAAAGATGAAAAGACTAAATGGAATATGTACAAATCAAAACCAATTTAAATACATGATAGAAATGGATATGTATGAAGTTACCATAGAAACAGTGAGCTATTGGGCATTGCAAAAATCTCTGTATAACCAACACATATGCAATATTTATCTCACCAACAATCAAAAAAATATTTTTTTTCCATGTGAAACAATGTTGGTGCCATTTAAAGGGATCTACCTCCGGGGACTGAACATATGTGGATTCAAATGCATTATTATACTACAAAGGAATGGAAGAAGTGTGGGCAGTGTGCATCTTTATGCAAAGATAATGTGTCCATGTCACTGTCTTCTCCCCCCTGCCACACCCCCCCACCCCAACAATGAGCAATTTCTTCTGCTCTTATAATGACTGGGAACACAGAGTCACCATCACTAGCCACTTCCATGAAGTTAGTCAAGTGAATGGGAATTACAATGCATGTTGTCTTGTTATCTTACTGATCTAACAAGCAGTGGTAAATATGGACTGTTTTAAAAATGGTTGCTCTAACTTTGGTGTTTTGGGGTTATTAAAAAAAAGAAAATTTGATATATTCTCAGTTTATGAAAAGTATTGCTTTAACTTTGGTGTTTTGGGGTTATTTAAAAAAAAAAAAGAAAATTTGATATATTCTCAGTTTATGAAAAGTTTTTTCTTACAGCTGGCAGATCTACACGTTGTACAATCTTCTCGTCTACTTACATTACTTTACAAAAAGTACAGTATAGTGCAGTTTGTACATACAACCTGAATACCAATACCACATCAAATTTGTGCTCTTTCAAATCATCCTAACTCCCACGCTAAGAAAAATTCATATGAAATGCTGTTTTACAAGGAAACAGCCATGATGCTTATATTTAAGTACATAAGACCCAATGCACATAGAGCTGTGTGACTGGAGCCTGCTTTTCAAAACCTGGAGAAGACCTGTCTGGTTCTCTGCTCATCCCTTCAGCTCGCTAAGTCCCAGCAAGATCACTGCAGACAGCTGGGGGAAGCAAACCTTGGTGAAGAAAACCACATAGAAAGTGGCTTAGAAAACACACTTCTCAAAGACTGTTTCTGTCTGAGCTTTTGTAGTTATTTAACTGAGATGAGGTCTAAAGCAGCACATACATGTGGGGGGCAGTAGCAGCAGGTGACCCAGTAAGCATAACTAAGAAAAAAAAAAAAAATTTTCATGTTAAAAAGAGATGAAATATTTTGGTTTTATTCCACAGCTATGGTGGTTCAGGGGATGGAAAAAATCTCCCTTATAAATACTATTTTATTTTTTCATGTTAAAAAGAGATTAAATATTTTGGTTTCATTCCACAGCTATGGTGGTTCAGGGGATGGAAAAAAATCTCCCTTATAAATACTATTGATAAAGAAATACAATGAAGTATAATCCTCCAGTGGTATAAATTCTGGAGAATCAAAAGCAGCAGAATTTCTGATTTTCAACAAGGAGAGAGTCAAGAGCTCATCCTTGCTTGGTTGGGTTCAGAAACCTGCTGGGCCATGAGGGGAATACATACTTTAAAAAAGAAAATAATAATTAAAAAAACAGTGGAGCAAAAAGTTTTGAGCCGCTGTGCTGGCTCTGTGTAAGCAGGCTTTACCTGCACATCCATTTCTATCCATTCTCCCAGTGCTGGGTGGCCCAGGCTCACCAAGGTACCCCAGTAACTCCCATATAGGAATGCCCAGCTCTGCCAAGCCTGTGCTGGAGCATCAGTGGATCCTTGCCTTGTGCCCTGCACCAGTGTCTTTGGCAGCCTGTGTGGCACGTGCTATGTCCTCTTTCAGCAGGCAGCGCTGTCTTTACAGACTTGAGGGCAAGCTCTATGGATCAGCTTCCAGCTGCTATATATAAGTGTAATTAGTTATTTTTGGCTTCTACCTAAGCAAACCTCCACTGCAGACCTCTATCAGCATAGAAAAAATGTACTCTAAAGCCTAAACAAATGTGTTCCCTCAGCTGTGATTAGCAATGCTGGACATGTGAGCTATCTTACTAAATACCATTCAAGAACGTCCTGTTCAGAACCAGATTTGTTCCACTGCAGTCCAATCAATGGATAATGTTCTTTCTCAGAATGGGAAGCCAGGTATTTCCTACCTGAAATGCATGGAAGTCATCCCATCATTAAATGAAAACAGGTAGACTTAAAAATCATGTAAACCACTTCAAACCAAGTAAAACAGGAATTAATTGTGCCTCATTTCATTTTCCCTTTGGTGATGCCACAGAGCAAAACATTTTTGGCAAAGCTGTTACCTTTCTTAATAAGCCTCTACTCTAAGGAATATTTTTAAGCACATTGCATTTCTGTTACTTAAGACAAGACAGTGTTGTCAGAAAGTTTTAGTTCAATGCAGGATAACTTCCTCTCTGCATGACTTCTCTTCTTTTGAGGAGGCAGATTTCCTTCAAGGCATTTGAACGTCCATCTTTATTCATACAGAGACATTAAATTGCTTTGTGACAAATAACCGTCAAGTCTGGTGTCAAGTCTGGACCTACCTAAATCTTTGCAAAAGTAACAGAAAAACAAACAAACTGTATCTGATATAATTCTGAACTTCCAGGAGAATGTTGTTGAGTGGATTCTTTTTGCCAACCAACCAAATGAAAGCTACTGGACTTAATATATAAAGAAGGTTAATAGACCCTTTCTTAATATGAAATGATTATCTTATTTTACTCCATAGTAGCTTGACTAAAGACATAAGAATAACACCACCTAGAAAAGGGAGGAAACAATTTATTCTATTACAATATTCTAATCAAAACCTGAAAAACTAAGGTCGGCTAACTAATGTGCTAAATCCATAGAAACTAGTTTAATCTAACTTCAACTTATACTGCAGTTTCAGAGTTGTGTCTGCATGAGATGAAATACCCCTATGTCGACTTCATTGACAGTGAAATACATCAGATACTCCAGCAAGTAATGATAGACCCGCATAGGAAGAGGCTGTCACAGTCACAAGATTTGTCCTGGATGACACACAAAACAAACTAACATAGAACATAAAAAAAAAAAAGAAAAAAAAAAGAAAAAAGCTCTTTATACTTAATTCAATATGGCTTTTTGCAACATGGCAAAATATTACAGCTTAAAGCATACATCTCCTCACAGAGGAGAGAAGAATTTTGCAGTCAAATTAAAAGCATAACAGGAAACAAGTAACATGCAGACCTTCTGCTTTTTTTGGCCAAATGATACTGCAGCCTAAGAGAATCTGGGAAGATACCCTATTTCACTTCTAAGAAGGTATTAATCTGAATTAGAGGATTAAGGTTTTATCATAATTAATTGGGTACAGTCATAAAAATTTAGCATTAAAGAAAACAGACTGCAAAACACTTGATTAAAAAATTTAACTTAGGAATTTAAAATCAAGTCATGTGCCCAAGTCCTGGAAACGTAAGGAATGAAACAAAGTATAAATTAATCTTAATCTATTTCTGGTTTTCTTCTTTATTCCCATCATCTTTGTGAAGAACAGGAAGAGGATGAGCCTCTGTGTTGAAGACCCAGTGTTCAAATGGAAGAAGATCATCTTCAGAAAACAGCAAATACAGGTACCTGACAAGAAAAAAAAAAGGAGGAAATGAGACCACATCAGGGAAGTGATTTTGAGGAAAACACATAATAATTCATATTTAATTTACTTGAGTACTAAACTTCCTGTTGAGATGGCATGACTGATTTTTTTCTTGCACAGCAAAAAAACCCCCAAAAACCAACCCAGAACTGAAGAGATCAAGACAAAAGTTTAATCTTATTAAAAATTTAGGAGATGTTGATGGATAATGAAAGCTTTTGTTTTTTTCTCTTAGCAGGCCCTGCAAGCTTTCCATGGAAATTGTTTTGTCTTCTTTTTCTAAAGTTTTAAAATGAAAAATATGCAATATAAGTCTGTTAAGTTCTATGTCTAGTCAATTTGTTTCATTAATGCTTGCATATATAATTAGATCCTATCAAAGACAGGAGATGCAATGTCTCAAAAACTATCAAGTACCTTTATAAGAAGTAAAGATAATTTGCAGAAGTCAGGGAATTTAGTTTATTAACCCAGATTGGAGAAAAAAAAAGGCAATTTTGCTTCCTGTCACTTAAGAAGAGCTCTGCTATTTCACTCAGATTTTGTTACGTGAGAGTGTCAAGGGTACTAATAATAAATACTTATCAGTAAAGATTATACACAGAACTACTTCACATTAATGAAAGTCAACTTTCTTAACTTACTTGAGTGTCTCTGAAAGGAAGAAACTTTGCTGCACATCGTCATGGCTTTCATGATTGCTATAAACATCTCTAATGCCAGAATAGCCGCCGTCTACTCTGCAGTGTTTTTCCAGTGCCTGAAGCAGGGAAGAGAACACCCAAATCACCCAAATTAACAAAATTAATATTATGTCAGTTTTTCTGTTTGGCAATAAAACTAGCAAAAAACAATTGCTACAAATCTTTTGATAAAGAGATGAAAACTTGGTAAATGTCTAGACAGAAAACTCTTTAAAAAAAAGACATTGGCATAGTGGTCTAATTTCATATTCAGGAAGAGAAGCAAAACAATAAATGAATAAAAAGTGAACACAAACCAGCTTTCAGAAGGAATGATGTATGGGTATAAGGATTTAAAGACATATGGATTTTTACTTATATTCTTTTTCCTCTTTTTAATAGGAGTAACAATAGCCTTTCTCTCCCAATCTCCCAGCCTTTGGAAATGGTGTTACTTATACCTCTTCTGGTCATATTTTGCTACTTGAAATGATTGTGACATAATTGAACACCATACTAAAGATCAGTCTTCTCCTTACCTCCTGCAAATCCCTTCAAGAAAAGGAACGGCAATGCTCAATTTTCTGTGTAAGTTATAACATATATATATAAGTTCTCTTTGCAGTTATTTAATTTTTCAATTAACCACTGATTGGGCTCTGACTGAATTTCTCTTGTGCAGCAGTCATATTTTTCTTTGCTACCTCTTTGAATAAAGCTTTGTCTCTTACACAGGTGTAGACAGAAAGCCAGGACTTAACATAATTTCGCTGTAACAATAACAAGGTGTTTTTCTCTAGCTAGTTTCCAAACTCTTTATTCAGTTAAAAGGTGTAAAACAGATGATTGATTCCTATTTCACAATAAAAAGGAGTACATGGGCCACGTAAAAATACAATTTCTTTCTGCCCACACGAATGTCCTATATTTATGAAGAAGAAAAAAGATCAGATGAAGAGTATATCTAAAAGGGCAAAAAAGATGCTGGAAATGTAGAAGGTATACATAGTGAGATTATTCAATAAACTTTGTTGCTTTCCTTTATCTTAGGTGTTTGCAATAGAAAGGTGGTACCTATATGCATATATATGAGCCATAACTTTTTAAAATATACTGCTATCCAATACTTTATTTGAATATTTGTTATCTTATCACTACTATATTTAAAAATATGAATTAATAGGGTTTTTTTCTTTATAATTTATGTATTTAACAAGGCCACCAGTATTCTTAATCTATTAATTTTTCTTATTCTCTTTTACAACAACTCTCTGGTATCAGACAGTATAAGGAAGGAGTGAAGAGAATTTAAGATGATTATATTTAAAACAACTCATTATTCAAAACCAAATTCAGAAAATGCTACTTAACCCTACATAACTTCTTGCAATGAAAATGACAGTAAGGATTGTGGATGGCTGCATTCACTCAGGACCACATTACTGTGAAACGAGGTGTTTTCTGTGCAGATGATATTGGAACAACGACTTTCAGGCAGAAATACCTCGGGCTTTATCCCCACCAAGAGAGAGCCAGGAGATAACCATTCCTCCCTTTCTGAAGTTACTACAAATACCACTGAAGTGAGTACAGGATGTGTAGATTTTATTTAGGGAAAGATGCTGCATTTCAAAACACACAAGCTAAAAAGCAAGGCAGAGGATATATCTAAACCAGGCAGAGTAAGTATTTTCTGAAGACAGATGGGACTAAGAGTCACTAATAATTACTTAAGTATTCATCATCTTCCCCTGCTCTAAAGGCTCTTTAAGATCTGTGTTTTGCTGTGAGTAGCTATCCTAAACGTCCTTGATTTTGCTGGAGTCCCTGTAGCTGTCTGCACACATTTGGCTTGCACATCAGGCTCTCCATAATTTTCACTGGAGAGTAAGCTGCCTATCGTATATTTAAAGGGGATTTTTTTTCCAGAAGAGATCCTTTAAAATATAACAGCTTATTTGTCTTTTTTTATGTGTCTTTAAGTTCTTTAATTTTCCTGGACACTTTTACTAAATGACAAATATACTTAAGTTTAAATAAGTCATTTCCTCTGGGCTGGTATTCCTTCCCTCTTGTCTACTTCAACCTGCAACAAATTCAAAATGCTGCATCTGTGTCTGGATTTTCAATGTCAAACAAAAGATGACATTTTTCAAAGCACAGCAGAAGCAGAACTTGAAGGATAAGGCTACTATGCAAGGAAATATCTGCATTCTATACAGGGCGAGGTATAATAAAAGCAAATTGAATTTACCATTTGTATGCTCGAACTTACTTTGAGCATTCTTTGAGTTCAGAGGCATCATAGATACCTGGAGGCACTGCTGTGATGTAAACTAAGGGGTTAACTTGCCCCATGTTTGCCTTCTGGTGGTATCTATCTGCTTGATGCAAAGATGAAGCATCTCATCCCTCAAAGCTACTTTCCACCTAACTAAAGGAACAGGACATCCACCTGCAGGATTAATAGGATAAAAAGGCTCTAGGTTGTCAACCATCCTGGCAGTGATGGGCTTTTGTGCCCTTTCCTGCACTTTGAGAGAACAGCGATGTTCACAGTGATAGGGGTAGTGGTGGGCAGGAAGAAACAATCAAACACACTTTAAATAAGTAGTTCTCAGGAAATGAGGGCGGCTAGGATCAGTTATGATACAGTAATGGAAAACATCAAGCACAGTGAAAACTGGCTGACAGTCTCAAACTATCATAAAGGGAAAAACAAAGGAAGTGCTACAAATTTAAAATATGTGCCACATTTATAATGCAAAAAGGGAGGCTTTCATGAGCTAAGCTGATAAAACCTTTCTGACTCAGTAACAGTGGATATTGCTGGTGGTCATAACTGCATTTTCTCCAGTTGCTGAAGTACATACAAAATTATCTTGGACTCAAAGCAGCAAAGCAAATTCACAAAGAAAAAAAGGAGAGGCTATAGCATATTTTTAGTTTATAAAGTTAGAGAAAGACTTAAGAGACTTGTCAGAGAGTTTAGAAGTCACGACTCTAAAACTGCCTCCTTTTCTACTACAAGGGAACTGGGAAAAAACCTAATGAGTTCTTATTGCCAGAGTAATGAGTTAGAAGTGGACATGAAAGACATAAAGAACAACTTTTTTTGGTCAAAACCCCAAATGGTCTGATCAATCATTTCCTCTTTTTTTTCGTGTTTCAGTCTCAGGTTCCCTTTTGTGCAATAAGTACCAGTAATTAAACCAATGACCCCCAGTGGTTGGGGGCTTCCCCAAGGACAGAATGGGTCAGGTGCCCTTTGGGGCAGCATTAAGGAGCAAGCGGGAACAGAATTTATGACATAGTTACAAAGCTAGCATGATATGTGCTGTTACAAAAAAATACTGTATTAGGTAGAGCTGTATAGCTATAAACACCAAGAGAGAACAGGATGAAAAAAGATTCCAAACCTACAACTGACTGCATAAGTTCTGGAAAGCTGTAAGATTTGCTTTTGTGGAACACCCAACTAACTGCACATTAGGACGGTGGAAGACGGGCCCCGGGCAGAACGGGACCAGCTGCATCTCCCACACCCATCTGGCTGTGCTAGAGCCAGCTTGACAATAACCACAGGAATGTTAAACAAGGGACACGTGGGGAGTGAGGAGGAGGTAAACAAGTGTACCAACTTGAAAGAAACACAAACAAACTGAACCAAATGGGTAAAGAATAATAATAAGGAAAACATTTCAATTGTTTATAACAATGTTATCAGTGTGGGCAGTAACAATGAGTCAGGAAAATCATCTCCTGGAGAAAGAACAGTTGGCATTGCTGAAGCCTGATGGGATGACTTCCACAAACAGCTATTGTAAATATGCCAATTACAACCTGCCTGGGAAGATTCCAGTAGTAAAATGTGTGCCTATGGGTGGTGTTAGCAAAGAAGAAAGTAAGGGAACAGCCCTCTAAATTAGAGGTTTTAAAACCCAAATTGCTTTGGAATTAGTAATTCAGAAGCATATTATTTCAGGGCCCCCCAGAGTCAGCACCTTAGGGAGGCAAATACAATGTCCTAAATAACTGCTCTCTACCTAGCTGAATACAGTGCTCAGGGCAGGCACACAACAATCGTGAATATTCAGGCAAGAAGCTTGAGAGTATAAGCATAGGTAATACTACTATTCTTTTTTTGGAAAGCAGATTTTTGCCTTAAATTTAATTCCTGGAGGATATCTAATTACCAGACTTGAAATAACCTCTTTTTTCCATAATGCTCAATGGCATTTGCACAACATTTCTGATAGGATCAATATCTACACAGTGAATACTGAATACATTTACAGATCCTGGTTGCTGTGGAGGGAGTTGGGTTTATGGGGTCATAACCAAGTAATAGCTCTTTAGTAGGGTCCCTTAGGGACAAGAAATTGTAGGGCACAAGTTCTACCCTCAGAGTAGATCAACCTTCTATAAGTAGTGGTGCAAGCCCCTCCAAGAAGATTGTAATCATACACTTCTAGAAGCAAAAGGTGTTAGGTAAACTGACAAACAGGATATTTGTGAAATCCTGGAAAGCAATACCTCTGCACAGGAGAGGTCAGTGTGAGAAAAAACTGCAGAGAGTTTTGACTGATTTTTTTTTTCATTTTTCTTAAGTACACAGAGCCAGAAAAATAATGTTCTTCAGCTTGCTGTACTTCCTATCAGATGTCAGCTAATTTAGCAAGGGCAACATCAGTGTGAGGAGGACAGAAGTGAACTCCAGAGAAGTGTAATAAGGACCCATACCTGGAGGATGAAACAAGGTAAATCTAAAGGCTCTCAGCCTTACGAGCAAGAGAGATTAACTGCTGAAAAAAGGGAAGCAATGGATTTGGCAAGCTCATTCTTTGCAGTGCAGACAAGCTGCCCTTTTGCAAGGCTTGTGCTAGACAAACACAAATAGCTAGGTTCAGCATCACTGCTTGAAACTCAAAGGCCAGTGGGACAAAAAAAAATTCAAATCTAGAAGAGATTATTGTTTTTTAGGGAGTTTTGTCGATGTAATTTATGTTTCTTGAAAGTAACATGGTTTTATGTTCGGTACTATCTAGTCCTTCATCCTGGCCTTTGCCACCTTAATTAAAATCACCTTCATAGTATTAATTTAATAAAACTTAACTCCATATCCAAAGCTCAAATCTGACACACGTATGTACTTTCCATTCACATGCAGCAACACTCAACATCTGGGACAGTACATCCAAATGTCACCCCTAATCCTAGAAGTATTTAAGATGGAGAAATAACAAGGTACTTTTCTGTTATACAATATCAGCAATTTTTGGTTTTGTCAAAATGTCATCTATTTGGCAAATGAATTCCTGGAAATCTGAATTGATATGCCTAATTTAAAATAAATATTCAGCTTCCAACTGCTGAACAATGTCCAGGTATCATTCAATAGCTCACTTAACAACATTACTAGGATTTAACAACAAAAAAGTCCAATAGAACATTACCTCAACAGCTTCCCATCCCCACTCCCTGTACTTTGGATCGTGAGTGAGGCGCCACATGTACATGTAGGTCTCTATGACTTCTGGCCGTAGGATGTAGTATTTTTCATTTTGTCTTGTAGCAATGGCCTCAACACCGCCATCAAATCTGAAGGCTTCTGGTCCCAGTTTCATTCCTAGCCAATAAAAAAGCACAGACTAAAATAAAGGCATTAAAAAAGGTTTCAAATTATGTAACCAAATTAAACTCCCCAAATTACCAAATCAACTTAGGCTTTTATGTGGCACAAAGCCAGATTACCCAGAACAATATAATTTATGAAAGATACTGCAGCTCCTCCTGTTTTTAATATTTTATAAATAATTTGGAGTAGGAGAGCTGCTCTTCATCAATGCCTTAAATGGCACTTACAGTTTGAACAGTGATGCTAACATTTACATTCTGGAAGACTTCATATAACTAGCAACAAGTGAAATTTTGCCTAAAAGATGAGGTTATTTACTTTCCTATATCAAACTGGAAAATACACTCTGGGATCTGAAACGCTGCCAGGGTTATTTCTATAAGATGATAACATTCAAAGAAATTTTCTGTACAGAAATCCACTTTCTTTGTGCAATTCTATTGTTTGCAGCTTCGTATCAACAGAACTGAGTCTAAAATATTCTTTTGTGCATGAAACATGAGTAATACCTATACTGATTCATCAATGAACAGAGTCCCTCTCTTACTTGTATTCAGCTATACAGAAATTGGCATGGTGAAAGCAGCTTGTTAATTACTGTTATGTAACTGTCATGTCAATTACTACAGTGAGGCGATATGCTTCAGGTGCACAGAAATTATTTAAAAACAGAGCATCCATTTTAAAAGTTATTCTTAAATCAAGGCAGCATTTGCTCAGAAGGGATGAACACTTCTCACTGTGCTACAACTTTCATTCAGCTTGATGCAAAACCACCAGTGGTTGCCTTCATGAAGGCGAGCAGTGCAGCAAACTCTGCGACATGGTACTCACGTGTACGGTCATAGGATTCATGGCAAGTCCTGGCAATTTCAGCACCCAGCTCGATGTGATGGCCTGTCTTGTCACTGGGGGCTCCATCTGCTCCCAGAGCAAACATGCCTCCAGCGAAACAAGTGAGGTGTCCCATCTTGTGCTCCAGCAATCCGCCCTTCCACTCGGCGATGTACGTCAGGCCCCCGCTCGACTTTCGGATGAGGTGCGTCTCTATGGCCTGCAGAAGGACACAAACCAAAGGCCCATTTGGTAAAGTGCAAAGGACAAAGATTATTGGTTTCTCTGGGTCTGGACTGAAGGCTCTTGAGATGGTAGTTTCATGTTCAGACTCAGCTGTTTATTATTTCTTATCAGTAAAAGAATCTCACAACCATGAGTTTGGCAGCTTTTCAATAGAAGACACAAAATGGCTAACAATCTCTTGTTACAAGGTCTTTCAATACTAAACCATCCAATTAAGAAAGGACACCTAGATTATTTTCCCTTTTAACCTAATAACTGATCCTTGGAAGCATGCAATGCAGACTTTTCTGTCCAATTACAAAATGCCACCCAAACCCATGAAGAAGGAAGAAGCATAAAGGAGAAACTCAGGATGACACCCTGTGCCCTCCATCTTGCTTCCATCCACTACATACTAAAAATCCCAAAACCTAAATTTCTCACCAAGTGATAAACCTACACTGCTCTCTATTATCTATTTCACACATTTGTATATTCTAGTCTATCTTGAAGTCTAGGAAACTTTCTCCATGAATGAGGGTCAAAGTCAGTGCTCCCCTGGGGGTCAGCACACCCCAGAGCAGACAGAGAAATATTCCCTGTGCCCTGGGTTTCCACAAAAGCTGTCTTGTATGTTGGCTGTTTGCTCTGTATTGCATTTGCTCATAAAATGCAATGGATAATAGGAGCCAGCATAACTTCAAAGTGCAGCTAAACCAAGATGAATATACATCAGTAATGATGACTAGTTTTGCTTCAACTTCAAGCAATTTACAGGGTATGGTTTATAAAAATGTTGGAAAGACCTACCAAATACGCTTCAAATTTTGAAATATTTTACTTTTCCCCCTTTTACATTGAGTAGTTTCAGGTAATTTAGCTTTCAATAGTAATTTAACTCTCAATAGTTATTAGCCATCACTTCAGCTTCTGTATTTCTCATTTTAATTCTGACTTAAAGGAGGTGGTTATTGATATAATTTCATGTAAATTATATGCAGTCATCACTCATATTCAAAACACATGACTCAGTGTGCAGTGAATGATGTTAGGCCTCTGAGTCTAGATGGCATTTCCAAAGTCCAGTGGGTTTCCCCTCCCAAGCTGAAATCCTCAACTTATCTATCAAGAGCAGGGTCTCACTGAGATCTCTGGAAAAAAAAACACAAAAAACCAAAACCTAAGCAGAATATAAATACACAAATCTAGAGGGAACTGGAAGTTGATGATGTTAGCAATGTATGGTCACTAATTACAAAATCCAGGAAGGCAACCTGCCATCGTGGGAGGAACAGAATTAAAACAACAGAGGAGATGCAGAAGAGCACATTAATTAGAAGCCCACAAAGAAACTAAGGTATTACTCTTTAAAAAAGTAATGGAGAAGAGATAACTCTGTCATACAACCAGAGCTATCCATTAGTACTTGGTTGCTCTGTTGAAATCATAAGATCCAGAAACAGTACTCAACATGCATTATACAAGAGAAGAAACATTTAAAAATATCACTACAGACAACTATTAACAAAAGAGCCAGGATTTAAAAAAAAGTTTTCTAAACAGAAAGTAGTGATTGTAGTTACTTCTCCCCATTTAAGCATTTGTAAAGGTTGTTCCTATAAGCATGAAAAATCCTCTCTAAATTAGAAGCATCAGCAGAAAAACTGCAGTTTTTATGTACTGGGTTTTTTTTCTGCCAAGAACGTCACATTGAAAACTACACTTTATTTTCCAGTAATATGAGTGCAAAGCACTTAGTAAGGATGTTTTCTGCCCAGATCCAGAGCCACTATTAGCTCAGAAAACTCCTCCACCCCTTGTTTCCACCTTGATTGTATGCTTTTACTACTAGGTACTTACTGGAAAACATACCTAAATTTTAAAGCAGAAGTAAATAATGAAAATTCCTGTGCTTTAAACAAATCCTGCAAAATTTAACCTATAAAAAGAGGAATTAGATGTGAAAGGGGAAGGTGAGTAAACATACAATAATTTTGTAGGAAATAGCTTTCAGACCTATTTGGGCATTCTAACAACATGCTACCCAAAATCAAGTTGAGGAAGGAAAAACTTTAATGATATTTCATTTAACCTTTCAGCATGGTATCTCCTATCTCACCAAAACAACAGTTCTAAAAATAGGCAATAACTCTACTGGTCACTTAGCTGTTGGATCAGAATTTATTTAAAAAGTAAGTAACTATAAAAATAGATTCATAAGTAAATTTACCTATGTTGCATTTATTTTGAAGCAATGACTGAAAACCAGAATGAAGTATTACTGTATCTGTCTGACATAACAACAATGATGCACTTTTGAACTATATTAACTAGACCAGAGTTGATTCTGGTCATATAAAAATGGATTTTGTGATACTAATTAGTGTTGGTAAGTTTTTTTTCCTCTCTTTTGGCTCATGATTAAAGTTCAGGCTTAAAAAGGATGACTGCTAAGAGTTTTAAAATTATTCTAACAAACTGGTGTTAAGAAACTAACAAATTGATGTTGATTGATACCAAGAATGTCACGAAATAAAAATATATTTCCAATTTAAGTATTCATGTTTAGTAAAGCAAATCATCTCTGTTTTATAAATGGGACCTATTAACTAGTACATATGTCTATTAAAAGTTATTTTATTCTGTAACCACCTTATTTAAAGCTATTTTTATGAGGTAGTTATTAGATATATTACAGACTCTCCGATTGCCTTATCATGCTTTGTACAATCCTGGGTCCCTGAGTGCCAGATTGTACCTATGCCATTGTGTCTGTCTTTATTCACAGCATGCTAGGTCACTGTGCATTCTTACCTAGACATGAAATCTGTGGTTTAAGAGCAGGATAGGAAGGAAGGGTTATGTTCCTCTAGTGCTATTTGCTGTGCTTTGGGTGCAGTCCTGGCAGGGAAATCAAGTGAGTAAAACAAGTTTTCATAAAAGGAGAATATATGTAGTGTGGTGACAAAGACCCACCCAAGTGAAAAGATCTGTCTAGTACAATTGATTCTGAATTTCATACTTAAAATAAACTTATTTTTATTTTGATATAATTATGTACTCACTTCAAGAGACACATTTATTTGAATTGCAGGTCTATTTCAACTTGCTCCCCAACTACAAATAATTCCTTCCTGCACTGTTTTCAGATCAGGTGGAGGGATGTAGCACCTCTCCTGTGAGGAAAGGCTGACAGAATTGGGATTCAACCTGGAGAGGAGGCAGCTTTGACATGACCTAACTGCAGCCTTCCAGTACCCAAAGACAGCCTACAGGAAAGATGGAGAGGGACTTTTTACAAGGGCATGTAGTGACAAGATAAGGGGGAATGGCTTCAAACTGAAAGAGTGTAGGTTTAGATGAGATATCAGCAAAAAGTTCTTTACTGTGAGGGTGGTGAGGCACTGGAGCTTGTAGCCCAGAGAAGTTGTGGATGCTCCACCCCTGGAAGCTTTCAAGCTCTGAACAAGTGAAAGGTAGCTACAAATATATGTTACCAAAGGGAGCAATAGCAGATGCTACCTGGGAGTGGGAAAAAAAAAATTGAAACAAAAAAATTGAGACAACCTGATTTGAGGCTGTAGTGAACAAAAAAGGAGGGGGAAACTAAAGGTAAATAAACATTTTACGGACATTTAGAGAAATACATTTACTACATGTAAAGCTGGTATGGTATACAATATGTCATGTACCCATAAGCTCTTAGAGCCAGAGTAACTTTTTACAGCTAATACAGTTCCTGGCAATTTTTCTTTTTAAGCTTTTACCTAAGGCTTTGCTTACAGACCTCACTGCAATAAAGCCTTCAGCCAAATTACCTTTTTCTCCATCTTGTGGGAAATGATTCCTTCGATGCAACAACTGTATAAATGCTTGTGCACTCAATTAGAAACACCAACAGTGCTTTTTACAGTGTGAATTGTAACTCAAGTGCTCCTTGCATTACTACTGGCATCTTTCTCATGAGTTTGCATGTTAAAATATGCCCTTGCCTATCTGTCACAGTGAATGAGACATTAGGAATGGTTTCAACTACAGGACTGCAAATTGCATGTTTGTGTAATCTCTGTTATTGACAGCCTAAAGGAGAAACTCTTCAGTTTTTCCCAACCTGATTTCCTCCCCCTGCTGCCCTCATTGTTAAGGCAATATATTTTGCGTTCTCTGTTTCAGTCTGTTCCTTAACCTATACATTATACTGCCAGTTCTTATCCTTGCAAAGTTAAGCAGAATTGGACCCTCCTATATTTGAATAATTCTTCTTCATTCAGTTCTTCATGTCTTTAAGCTTTTCACACGTCTTAAATTACGTCTTCACCACCCCCTTCAGTCCATCCCTGACTTGATTTTGTGGTTGCAAAGTCCTTCATTTACCCTTTGAGTTGTTTAGAATATATGGTTTATAGGGAAACGCAGAAGACCCAGAACTGAATCATCTCTCTGTTCAAATGAGTTGAAAACTAATCAATAAGCTTATTTTTACAGGTGTTCTCTTGGTGGATTACACTGACAGGTGACAAAAACACTAACTGAGATGCCTGCAGAGCACAGGTGGAGGCTTCTTAGGAAAAACGATCTGCTGCTCAAGGCTGCTCAAATTCTAAACAGACATGTGCCACAGAAGTGTTAACTCTGCTGCAGGAGCTGAGATAACAAATTACAAACCTCAAACAGCAATGCGACCCCACAGTTATTCTAGCTCTTAGGCATTTTACCTCTTCTTTTACAGTATCTTCTTAATTATGATTAATGAGTTTCAATGATTACTGCTTTTAACAAAACCCAGGTGGTTTCATTTCTTGCCTCAAGATGTCACTGTAGCTGGAGATAAAACTGCTCAGCAATACAGTTCCGTATTTCCACACCTTAATAAATTTAAAACTTCAGAAATATGATTCTAAGTTTCAAGGGTTTATAATGTCTGTTTTGGGGGATAATTACAACTCTGCAGGCGTCTTCATAACAAAGAACCATAAATTATCTCTGTTCAAACTT